CTGTCAGCTTCGTTTTATCGTGAGTCGAGGTTAAAGCTTTGAGTGCAGAGGCATGGTAACAGCTGAGAGGGGAGGACAGCCCAACCTGCCACTGTCATGAAGGAGCTGTAAGTCATCTTTGTGTGAAAGCGTCAGTGTGAGAATGTAATTGTCCAATAGGCCGGGTAAATAGGGTTACCTGTCCTTTATACCCGCTGAGTTCCAATCACAGTTATAAAGATCTTCGGACCAGCGTGACTGCTTTGTTTAATGAATTTCTTTAGTCAATTTACTTACGCTTAATCTTGTTGTATGTTTGCACCTGTTTTGACAGTTTTGTTTAAAGTTTTCACGTGAATATTTCGCAATGGCCAGGAGTTTTAGCCTTGTCAGGCTTTCTGTGAAAGGAGTGAGTGTATTTACACGTGCAGAGTGTGTGAGGTTGTGATTGTGTATCAGTAGGTGCCTTCCTATGTATATATGTATAAGGGGGGGTCATGTGTATCCTATGTATGGGGGGGGGGTCATCCCAGGCGGCACTGGGTACAGAGCTGGGCTACACCGTAGAGAGGATCATTGTAGGGCAAATACACACACAGACACGATGGGCAAAGAGAAACGTCGGAGTGTGAAAAGATTGTCAGCATAGCCATGCATAAATCTCAGGTATGGCAGAGTAATTGGGGAGTGGCAACTCATTAACAAATCCTTGGAGAGATGTTTTCTCAGTGAGGTGGAACGCTGTAACATGGACGGCCCGTGCTGAGGGATTATTCTCGGGTTCTGTCTCGCGAGCAGCTTTTTTCGGCACCTTTTCCGACTTCAAAGTGGCGCTGCAGACAGATATCCTGGGTTATTCATAGTGTCCCATGCAATCTGATTAATTTATTACGGTTTTGAGTGTCATCTTTCCTGTCACTCGAGACAAGTGCCAGCCTCTGCAACTGGAGACCTCTAGCGAACCTTGCTGAGGGATGTTTGGATTGAGGAGCTGCCTGTGTTGGACCTCCATTCCCCGCAATATGATCAGAAGCCAACGAACGCAGTTAACAGAGAGCTGCCCCGTACACATGACAGCTTAACATGTGCCTTTTAGTCACCCCCCCAGTAGATGATGTTTTGTCATCCTGTTTCGCCGAATGTAACCTGGTCATTTGGTCTTCATGTGCACACAGTTTGAATGTAGGTCACCAGTGTCTATTGCTGTTTGCGTTACTCGCAGTTGTTTGTCCAAAATAACGTTTCTAGTGGCCATGTGGAAATGTTTAGTTTTTTTTTTCTCAGTATCCAAACACTTAGTTTAGGACAGGAGTCTCAAACTGCAGTCCTGGGAGGGTGGAGTCTTGCACAGTTTTTGGTTCACCCTAATTTAACACACCTGATTCAACACCTTGTTTGAAATACCACACAACTCTTGAGCTGAATTATTTGTGGTAGAACAGGAAAAGCTACACAGGGCTCCGCCTCCCCAGGACTCTTGTTTGGCACCCCTGGTTTAGGACATACAAGGGAATTCTGGACTCTCACCTCTTTGACTGTCCTTGGTACATCAATAGCAGCAGGTTCCTTCATGTAATGCTGAGAGAGTCAAGCGAAGCCTTTCCGAAACCTCCCAGCTTCTCAGCTTCCTCAGTCCGTCTCACTTTAAATCAAATTCACAAGGTGAAGAAACTAGATCTGGAGGTATTTTTTGTATCCCTAATTCATCATGGAATCTTTTTTTTTCTCTATCTGAGAAGGACCTTGAAAGAGAAGTTTAAGAAATTAGCTACTTTGAATGCTATCGTTTGCCTCAGCAATGCAGAGCATGTAGCCAGTATGGTGTTAGAGTTCTGGGATATTTCTCACGTAGGTGACCTCAGGTATTGCTGTGGGCTGACTCCGCTTCTCTGGCCCACAATGTAACTTGATACCCAAGTTTGCAATACCAGCTCCTTCTTGGAATAACGTCCTGACAGTGTAAACATGATGGGAATTAATGGCTTCTCCTCCAGAGTTGGGGCCTGGGGATTCTCAGTCATTTTCACATGCCACAAACTCAAATCCTTACATTATCTCACTACGCCATTCCTTAAAAATGTACGGGATAACTGCCAACATTATTAAGTGATAATTACATTATTTAAAAGCATGCAATGTAGACTTTTCACTGTACATGAATGAATGAGCAGGTGTGGCTCTAACCTTTATTTTCTTCAAGCAATGTCTGAAATTTGAGGCACTTGGTGGACCTCAATGGTATATTGGGTTATATGGATATCAAACAAGTAACTATTGCTTTTTTGTTTGTATGTGTGAAGTGTCTGTTACTTTTATCTTTAATCAATAAGTGTGCCACTTAACCTGAATCGCTCCAGTTGATTATCTTGCAGCTAACTGCATATGTAAAGTAATAACCTATTAATTAAGAAAATGACTCAATACATTGAAGTTGATAATTGGTTTTTTTGTGTCACAAAAAAATCCTCCTTTCATTATGTATCTTGTGTAAAGACATATGTGATACTTGCACTCTGTTTGTGGTAAATCACTTCCTGTCAAGCAATCGCACAGTTGCCATTTCCTCCACTTTTACTTAGAGCCCATTGGGGGGCAGCGTTTTAATTACAATACCAAGCCAAAGAACACTTATGTGGCCGCGAGAGAAGTAGGGCTTTGAAACCCCCCCCCCCCCGCCGGTGGGATTATCACACAGCGCTGGCCGTGGACGCGACTCACCCACATCTGATCATTAATTAATTCGTTCCCACACACGTAAGCACACAGTAATCCTACACGCTTGAAGTAAATGTGAGGGCGTGCCTGTAGGCCCCGTCTGGCGTTGGAGGCCTCAGCTAACCTCTCGCATGCTCTATCCCCGTAGCATGGCACAGAAGGAGAAACTGCAGTGTCTGAAGGATTTCCACAAGGACATCCTGAAGCCCTCACCAGGGAAGAGCCCAGGCACGCGACCCGAGGATGAGGCGGAGGGGAAGCACCCCCAGCGCGAGAAGTGGGCCAGCAAGCTTGACTTCGTCCTCTCGGTCGCTGGGGGCTTCGTTGGTTTAGGGAACGTCTGGCGTTTTCCATACCTCTGCTATAAGAATGGCGGAGGTACGATGAATGATGCTTCTCATTCCTATTTTGATTTATTTATCTAATAATCTGTCATGTTAGTCAAATTCCATTTGTATAGATTGTTTAATTTACCGTTTGACAAGCAGCTTTTAACTGCTTTGCGCTAATAGTCTATCTACTCATTCCAGGTGCATTTCTTATACCGTACTTCATCTTCCTGTTTGGTGGGGGTCTACCTGTGTTCTTCCTGGAGGTGGCGCTCGGCCAGTACACTTCTGAAGGTGGGATCACCTGTTGGGAAAAGCTCTGCCCCATTTTCACCGGTGAGTACCGAAGCTTGATCGTCTGCCGTTAAGCCAGTGTTAGAGTGACAGACAGGTTGACGTCTGAAGTGATCTACTAGATTGATGGATTCCACCGTTAGGAGCCCAGAAGTTCTCTTCTAGCGATTGTAAGGAAATGGACTAGATCAGTAGAACAATGCATATCTGACTGCTACCAATTTCATGGCAGAAACATTTCAGAAATTGGTAACATGCATTCGGGAAGAGTTAGAAAATTACAAAAGGCCAACGATTGGCTGATGGTCATACTCCAGAACCTCAAAGGATGGGCATTTGCTTGGACAAGGAGAGAGCTGAAGAACATGGACAAATGGGACCTCAAGCAGCCCCCTCTGTCAGTCGCTCTGCATTTTTATCAACGGTTTGGTGGCTGGTTCAGCTACAGCTTCATCAGCCAATGTGTGGGGGCAGACCAGGCCATCCCATAGCTACTGGTTCTAACATCTGAAGGGTCTGCAGATGTCCTAATTGTGTGGTTGCAGTTTCCTGGCATGCCCTCTGCCTGCTCATTATGTTAGGAGGCATATTTAATGAGCGGTCATCAGCATGCCATGATGCAATATTTCTTCCTCACTTTGGGGGGGGGGGGGGGGGGTTGATCCATAATAGCAGCAAGGCACGTGTCATTAGCCGGCAGCTTGAGATGCCCCATGATGAAATTACACAATGGCCTCGGTCCAATCTGGAGGGCTGTCTGCATCTGGAACCTCCTGCCGCCTTAGAATTTGTGGATCTGGAGGAATTCCTCTGTGGATGACGGGTGCCAGATCCTTCCAGAATCGCTCAGGAGCTGCGATTCCCGCGTGCCAGGTCATTTCCACGGCGGCCGGGCCCTAATGGTCCTGGCCCAGATTTTGAGGCGGGATCCACCCGTTCCTCACATCCCCCCACAAATTATCTAACAATCCTGCAAATGTAATATGCGACTGCATTGGATAAACAGACCAATTAAATGTGATATTATTTAGCTAGTGGGGTTCAGCTCACAAGCACGATTTGGATGGTTAAGTCTAGTCTTGGCAGATTAATTTCGACATATGACTTATAAATCATGGTAACTTAATGGTACGAGCACTCAGCTTAACGTTATAGCGCATGTCGTTTTTGTAAGTAAAATGCTTGGGGGATCTTAGCTGCCTGATGTGCCTCTCGGCTCATCTTAACCCTCTCGGATGGACCCCAAGCTGCTTCCAGAAAGCCAATCACTAAAGTTGGTCCTTTTCACTAACCCGGCCCATTCTGCCCTGCCCAAGTCTGTTGATCAACCCCAAACCAAATACACGATTCATTTTATTGTCTACTTTGATGAACTGGGTAAATCCCAGGGAGCACGTGGACCTCTTGGCCTGAACCTCGTTTCTCTGGCAACTGGTATAAAATTAAATTAAAGCACTATGACTGTAGAATCTGGGAATTTACCTATATTGCGGTATAAATCCTATTAAACGCTTAAAAATAGAATCCTAATTAAACCCATATACAGATTTAGAACTTTTGTTCATGTTGCTATTGGACAGAAACTGCTTGGAAAATGCCGCCTGCCCCAGGCCAGTTAGATCAAAGCATTTGCAGATTTGCATAATTGTTAACATAGTGGTATCTCGCCAGTCTTGTTTTAACTCCACAGTCAGAGGTGTAATTAGGCTCAGGAAGATGCAAGGCTCTTGCTTTGCTCAGCAGTTATGTCTTTGATTTTCTTATTGGCTGTAAGCGCATCTCTTTTTGAGGACCCTGATTGGTTAGAGTTGGGGGTGCCACTATGTATGGTTACTTGCAGATGTCCATGCCTTCTTTTCAAGCTGCCTGGCCTGTTCACTAGCTCACTTTGCAGACTCTCCAACTGTTTTCTATTCCATTTTCATGTAGAAAGATATGTATGTCATTTATAAATATACTTTAAAATCCACTAATCTGATTTCCTTTTCTGCCCTGTGCAGCAGAAGAGAAAAGTAAAAGATCTGTCTGTATTTGGGCCCACATGCAGGAAATTCAGTGGCACAAATAGACACACTCAGACACACGCCCCAGGACCCAAACATGTACAGAGTGTACTGAATTCTAAGTTGCCATGGCAGCAAGCATTAGAAAACACCAGAGAGATGCCTAGCAATGAGACTGGCCCAAGACGAGGCCATCTTACGTTCAGAAAAATGCCAAGCAGGAAATAAATGCCAGAATGTGCTAAGGTTTTTTTTTTTTGCTCATTTATATGTCTGCCTGGCCAACCTGGAGTGCCACATGTAGGATTAGCCATGCGCGGCTGAGACGAGATGCCAGTTTTAGCAACACGGGCTGGGGCTCTGCTGTTTTGCAGCAATATCACCGGTGAACAGCTTGGTTGAGAAGAAAGCATGCATTCACCTGTGTGGCAGATCTCAAACAGCCTTTAATTAGCCGGTTAGCTGTGGAAGGGGGTGGGACAAGGCACCTGTTTGTCACTCTGGCCTACAGAGGGACGAGCAATGACAGGTGGGAGAATCCAAGTTTAGCGGCCAAGTTCACGTTTGATTGGATCATAACATGAGGGCAGAAACGGGTGGTTATTTTCAGCCTCTGGTGGGTATTGACCTCAATTTTGCTTACAAGAATTCTTTTTGCTTATATGAACACTTTTGCATACAGGGATTTGCATTTAAAAGAAATTCTCCTCACCCTTCCGTAACATTTTTGAATGCAAAATGTATTTTTGCAAAGGAAAGTAATACGTTGGAAACAAGCAATTAAAAACATTTCTGTGAGCAGACTGGTCCCTCGTCTTGTTATGTTTGTATGTTTTAATATCCTTTGTTCTTAAATATATAGTTAATTTGAAAATGTAAGTCTTTTTCTGTTTATTTTTGTTCCGATTCTTTCTGTGGCGGCGAGCAAACTGATTTCCATGTGCTCCTTCTCTCCGGCTCTTTCCCCAGGCATCGGCTACGCGTCCATGGTGATCGTCTCCCTGTTGAACGTTTACTACATCGTGATCCTGGCCTGGGGCCTCTACTACCTGCTCCAGTGCTTTCAGCCTGAGCTTCCCTGGGCGAAGTGCAAGCAGCCGTGGAACACGGCCAACTGCGTGGAGGACACCGTTCGCAAGAACAAGACCATCTGGATGGCAGCCAATGCCAGCAACTTCACTTCGCCTGTCACTGAATTTTGGGAGTAAGTCGTCTGAACTGGACCTGCCTCCAGCCCACATCCTTCACTTACTAATTGTAGCCCTCTGGTCTTTTATTCCCCAGAGCTCCCCCCCCCACTCCTAGGCTACTTCCTACTCATTCTGGCTTTGCTTAGCTACACTGATAGCACTGCTGGTCACATGAAATGGGAGTAGCGTCTATATATCTGCTTTTAGCCGCGGCTCTGGCTTCTGTTTTTCCGTTTCTTCTCAGAGACTGTGCCGGTGTGGTGCCTAGAATGGTATCGCTGTAGTGTAGCACCACCGCGTTGGGAGAAAGGGGAGCTTCTAATCAGCGTTCTGGCTTTTCTGTGATGTGAGTCTCCCGTTGTGCCCGCAGACGCAACGTTCTCAGCATCTCCAGCGGGATCGAGGACATCGGCCCTATTAAGTGGGACCTCGCTCTCTGTCTCTTGGCCGTCTGGGTCATCTGCTTCTTCTGCATCTGGAAGGGGGTCAAGTCCACGGGGAAGGTGAGCTAGGCCAACAGTGCCTATGCTGCCAGCTTAATCTTTTTGGTTTGCCCAATTTCATTTAATGATGCACCTCTTGGCCGAGCAGCCCAGTCCTGTCTGCTGATGCTGCTCGGGATACATAGCTCTACGTCCGTCTGGTGGAGAGCACAGCCTGTTTCTGTTCCCTGTGACTGCTGATCCATCAATAGTGATAGTATGTAACTGAGTGATCTCTTTCTGAGTATGGGTTAGGAACAGGAAGTGTTAAGACAAAAAAAAGAAAAAAAAAGAAAAAAAAAAAACAGACAAACCCACACATACACACGTACACTGCTGCCGGCTTTTCCTTTTGTGCGGCCTGTTGTGGTTTAACTGTCTCATCTCTCAGACCTTCAGCATACGCATACCAGGATACTTTCAACATATTTTCTCGCAATGTTTGGTGATTTCCGGCTCAGGCACCTGATAAAGTACATTATGCTGTAAGCATGTATGTCTGCGTGTCTGTGTATATATACATATACAGTATACAAAAGAATAGTGTGAAAACGGTTAAACCCACAAACGCTTGAAATGTGCATCCAACTCAGATGCCAAGAATTAAATTTAAAATGAACAAGAACGCGAGGCCACATTGTAATGTTTTGCAAATGTAGCTTTTACTGTGGTCAGATCTTTCAGGTATCCTCAATTCTTGTACCCTCATCCCTGCTGTGCAAAACCACTCGAAATGTGTTTCTGGCAGTTTAGTTTAACCAATTGGACTACACTTTGTCTAGTCTTCAGTTTTGTAAGTGCTGCACTCAGCAAACAATGCCTTACTGGTTACAAATATCCCCCCCAAGGTTGTGTACATCACAGCAACGTTCCCGTTCATCATGCTCATCGTTCTCCTGATCCGTGGAGTGACACTCCCAGGTGCGGCCGAAGGGATCAAATTCTACCTGTACCCGGACCTGACGCGCTTGAAGGATCCTGAGGTAGGGGCTCGCCCCCTCGCCTCTGTGCTTGGCGACCTTTGATCCCTGTTCTGACAGCACCCAATCTCTGTGGTCCTTCTGTTCTTCTGCTGTGGGCCAGCATGCAGCCATTAACAGAGCCCTAACTATAATAAAATCATTATTTAGTGCTGAATGCCAGGCTAGTATGGCGAGTTGTGGGTGGCCGTTCTGGCTTCCGTGACTCATCCTACAGCAATCTGGATGGAGTATCCACCGACAGTAAACACCAGACTTAATGGGAATTGATTTAGGGGCGTTGGAGGAAGAAATATGTTGGCTAGAGTTTTATATGGCTGTGTGACCTGTTCCAAAGCTTACAAGGCCAGATAAGTGAAAGCATTAACCAGCTTTTGCATGCCCAAAGTAGTCGATATTACAAGTACGTGGGAGGAATTATGGTACTATCTGCAGCCAACTTGCCTTTTTTTCCTAAATATACAAATCAAAGCAAACTAAATGGATATAACTCAGCCAGTTTTCTTCTTTTTTAAAAAAAAAATGCTAGACTGCAATTTACTATTTTTACATTCCTGTGAGGCGCCTTCACTGAGGTGCTCAGTTCCAGCAGTATTAGATTTCTGTTCAGTCTAGTCGGTGAAAATGTAAACCTTGGAACTGATTTTGTCTGACATGCCTGTAAGACTCATGCTAAGGTCCAAAATCCGCCCCCCCCCTGCCCCCATCCCAACCGCAGGTCTGGATTGATGCTGGAACTCAGATCTTTTTCTCATACGCCATCTGTCTTGGAGCGATGACCTCTTTGGGGAGCTACAACAAATACAAGTACAACTGCTACAGGTAACGGCCCCTCAGCCCTGGGGACGTGTCGTGAGGGGATTAGTGCGGTTAAGTGGGAGCCTGGGTTCCTTCTGTGTTAATTAACAAACTCCATGAAATATGTGTGACTTAGGGACTGTTTGCTGCTGGGAGGCCTGAACAGCGGTACCAGCTTTGTGTCTGGCTTCGCAATATTTTCCGTCCTGGGCTTCATGGCACAAGAGCAAGGGGTGGACATTGCTGATGTGGCAGAGTCAGGTACGAGGGTCCAAGTGGCAGTGATGGTGGGCGCTGCTACTTACGGAGAGTCTGCTCGATATAACTCCTAGTAAAAAAAAAAACAAAAAACAGAGGCAAAAGTAAGGATACATCAAAACGATAAAATTTAAACTCGATGGACGGCACTGAAATATTCGTTTCGGCAACCGAACTCAAAATTGGTGGATCGAAGAGCTTGTAATTTAGCATGAATGAAATTAATTTCCGGTTGGATTTGGCTGATGGACGTTGAGCGCCGTTGAGTCGACCGTTGAGATGTGTTAGAGTTACTTCATTTCAGGGTGCCTGCAGTGAAAAATGCTGAGGAAATAAACTCTGTTAGAGGATTTTATTGTCAACGCTATGGGTAAGGAGTCATCAGTCGGGAAGAAAAAACACTAATGTCACTAGACGTCTGTTTGCGACCATTTTAAGCAACCCGAAAGCGAAATGAGACTTGTCTTGTGCCAAATGGGAAAGAGTATGCTCTGTGTACTTTCTGTCTGTTGAATTCTGGGTAAATCATGAACGTGAGATATTTCTGAAGGAACCAGACAATGGCTGTTAGTAATCCTATCGGTTCTTCCGGTTCTCCCCCCTTGTTGTATGATGCTAATTTGGCACATTAATTTAGCACGTTAGCGTCTCCACTCAGCATGCTCTCCCCATTCCAAGTCTGCAAATGGTCGACAAAAGGAACAAAAATGGTTTCGTTGTGGTGATTTTTTTCCCCCCATGAAGTGATAAAAAAGGAAAAAAATCTGCTGCCTTGTTTGATTGGAGACTTTTGCTTTGATATGGAAAAAAGAATAAGATGTGTTTACAGATTTTTTCAGTTTGCTGATTCACTGGGGCTAACTTTGTGCAAACTAGCCTGGAGATTCACTTGAATTCCAATCTGTGGCAGTGTTATAATAGTTTAATTTTTGTAGTTAGTTTTTATTTTTATACTATTTTCAATTTAGATTTACTTTAGTTTTCAAGTTGGTTTTATTAGTTTTTATTTTAAAGATATATTTCTATTTAGTTTGTATACATTTTTGTTTCTGTTTAAGTTTTAGTAATTCTCTAGTAATTCTAGGGTTAGACTGAAAATTGTAGAGATATTTTATGAGCCTGATTTTTAGAGAATCCAACATCAGTACACTGCGCACATTATGTACTGATGTCCTCAAAACGGGCAGAATATGTTATATGAATTATCAATGGTAAAATTAAACAAAACAGTATTAAATATATAATACGATTATTAGTATTAATGAATGGTAGTGTAAAGTATTTGACGTTTTGTTTTTGTTTTACAATTAGTTTCAGAAGCAATATTTGTAGTTTTCATTTAGTGGTAGTTTATTTTTTTTATTTCCGTTAATGGAAGTGTTTTCTTAATTTTTTTTTAGTTTTTGTTAATGGTAATAACCCTGATCTGTGGATAGATGTTGAACTTGCACAACTGCCTTTCAGACGTCTCCTCAGAGAGCTGGGTATAAGTAAAGTTGGATAATAGTTAACATTAACGCTAAACCACGTTAAGGTAAGCAGTGTATAAGGGTTGCCATGCCCGGGCACCGGCCCCAAAGTGCCACCTGGAGCCGGGAGCTTGTCATCGCTGGCATGCCAGACCGCCAGTCCTGTTGTGCCTGTTTAAATGCCCTGTCATTTACTATTGTTTGGTTTGTCCTTTATTCCCTCCTTATCATTTATTTTTATTTCTTCAATATCCATACTGTAGCAAAATTAAAGACCTCGCTATAATGTACCCGAGGAAAGGTATTTGTTACGTTGATATTTATTTTATTAAAACGTAGGAAAGTGTATGCTGGAGTTATATTAGGAGTAATTTTAATTATGTCTATATGACTAAGTCCCATTTTCAATCTCTGCGGTAAGCCTCAGAATATTCTATTTGCTCCCTCTACTAACGCTACTGCCCCCATTCAGTCTGTACAGCCCGGAAATAGGAATATCTGTCTATGTATTTCAATGGGATCTGTGCTCCTACCGAAGAGGCATGGCCTTGGTGCACAGGTCACATGGTACAGTAGCCTATAACATTAACTGTTTGTCCCCAACCCCCCCCCCCACCCCCTCTCCTCTTTCTCCCCACCAGGTCCCGGATTGGCCTTCATCGCCTACCCCAAAGCCGTGACCATGATGCCCCTGCCCACCTTCTGGGCTGTCCTCTTCTTCATAATGCTTCTGCTTTTGGGTCTCGACAGTCAGGTCAGGACCTGCCGCCGCATATTTGGCGCCTTATTCGGTGTGCGGACCGTTTCTGTTTAGTGCAACGAAGTCGTAGTGAATGATGCATAACTAGAGCTGCCTGAGACACGTGGGCCTCAGACTCGCTTTCTGATTGTGGTGGTTTTTTTTTTTTTGTTACTCTAAATCGCACTAATTATGGGAAACGGAACCATCTCCCTTAAGCACAAGATGTGTGGGTGGATGGTATTGGTGAACATTATTTTCTAGCAAATGTTGATCTGTTTTGTGCAAAAAAAACAAAACTAATTGAGGAATACTATGAATTCTGAGGGAGACAAGTCAGATTTTACTGCTTTATAAAAAAAAAAACATGAAACAGTGTAAGAGAGGGGAAGAGGCCTGTGTTCATCACACATGAAATCTTATGTGAGATTCACTGTAACTGACATGATAAATGCAGTCAGATGCAAGTCCAAGCCTGTTCAGCCATTGCTAGCTGTGTCCCAATTCGGGGGGGTCCTTCGGAGGATTGAAGGTCGGAACAGCCTTTGTAGACTGCGTCCTTCTGAAGATCTACGTAGTGAATCTTCAGATGGGGGAGGGGGGATGCTGGAGCCTATCCCATGTTGCATTGGGCTCAAACCTGGGTACACCCTAGATGGGATGCCAGTCCATTGTAGGGTGCATACACTGCTTTGGATGGCAGGAGGAAATTGGAGTACCTGGAGGAACCCTACATAAGACTAGGAGAACATGCAAGCTCCACACACACACAGTGGATGGGATTTGAGGCCATCACCAGGAGGCCTGAATGGTGCTATTCACTAAGCCACTATGCCATGCCACTTTTTATTTATATAACAGCAATAAATACAAAAATATAAGGACCCTCTGCAAATACGCCTAGAAAATAATATTGTAACACTGCTCTGGAATCTTTAGGTTTGGGAATTTACTTTTTAACTAGCAAAGGTGAAATAGTTATACTTTAGTAGTACTAAATATATAGTTTAGTTATTGATTTACAGATGGAGATAACAGTGCAGGAGACAATGACCCTGTTTATGCTTTTCCACCCAGAGCTTGTTGGGTGTGTGTTTATATATTGAACAAGGAGCCATCATGAAAAGATAGTGAAAGGAAACTTCTGGAAACCATGCTGCCTCGCCTGGGTCCTACAGCTATCGAATTTCTCAGCCAAAGTGAAATTGTAGCTTCTGCTAAGTCGGTCATTCTCACTACTATCAGGATTTGGCGGTGGGGTGGGGTGGGTGAGTCAGGAAGCACGCAGGGATGGGGCACCAAGTTCGAGTGGCTACACTCTAAAGACAAACAAAAATCAAGAGCCAAGTGTTATACGATAAATTACAATGAAAATAAACTTTACTGGTGCAACAGGGACATGGCAGGGGGGCATGTTGAAAGAACCTCCAGTCTGTTTCGGGACACATAAAAAAGCTTAAATACGAAAGTGGAAAACCTCATGATGTCGATGTACACACAAGGTCACATTCAGACATATGACCCTGAAAGCACAAGGCAACGGTGTGTCACCCTGTGCCACCGTGACACCCTGAGTACGCAGCAGCTGTACACCAAAGTTGACACACCAAAGAAATTACAAAGCAATGTGTTATACCTGGCTGATTTTACTATAGCAAACTTACATAGCACTGAAAGAGTTTTCCCTTCAAAATAAGGCAATCATCAGAGTATAAACATCTTTTTCCAATTGGTAATTCAGGTAACAGGCCAAGAAAACAGTCACATATCTTAGGTGCAAAACAGTTTCACGTTTCAAAATGTATAAATAATCACCAAAGCTAACTGCTGTTAGCACCAAACGTAAAGATACTGTAATTAGAAAGCTAATACCCAGATTTCCCAGAATGGATTGTTTATTTTGTCTGTCACATGATACAGCCTGAAGGGCTTAGTAGATTTAGATATTAAGAACGCTGAGGGGATGGCTGTTTATTTCTAAAGGCAGAGATTAGTATTTCCATGTGGTGTGGCTTTGAAAATGGAGCCCAGGAATCAGTGCCAGATAAAAAAGATTCCTGGTTGCTTGTAGTTCAAATTGCAATTATGAACATTTCATTAAAAACTCCTCCCAAGTCATAGAGATGGTTGAAAAACACAAAACTGGCATTCTATGAAGCTGTACTATTCTAAAGTCGTCTGTCCAAGATCCATCCATCTTCTAACTATCCCGGTCAGGGTTATTTCATTTTTTGATGCTTCCATCCTGTTATGCTCTCTGACCTGAATTCTCGTCCTGATTTCTCCATCTAGTTTGTCGAAGTGGAAGGGCAGATCACTTCACTGGTTGATCTGTATCCATCCTTCCTAAGGAAGGGTTACCGGCGGGAGGTCTTCATATCGGTTGTGTGCTTCTTGAGTTATCTTCTGGGACTTACCATGGTTACTAAAGTAAGTCGATGAGTTCTCATTGATCCGTTTCTCAGCACCTACATAGTCACGTTCTTCCTCTCAGCACTTAAAGCTTTTATCATTTTCAATACCAGTGACTGTAACAGAACCTCACACTGGTTCTTCTTAAATCTACTCTGCAAATTGCAGTTCATTGACACCAAGGGATGAATGTTAGCTGACACTCGTAGTTGGAGAGAATAAGCTGCTTTTTATATTTAACACTTTATGATTGATAAAACCCTCATTGATAAAAGGCTCATTCCATATGGGTGCCACCTCTACACCCTCTGCTTGTAGCTTGGCAGAGTTCCTTATCTGCAGGCCTACTTATGGACTCGCCTGGTAAGAGATTTCCAGTCGCAGGGAATTGCAGCAATCGCAGGACTATTCGTGGAGCCCCAGAGCATCCTTGAAACCGTACTGCACCCGTGTTTGAGATAGCCCTGCTTCTGCGCCCCCCATGCGCACTCGGAATGGCATTCTGTGGTTTGCCATAACTGCCTTCTTTCCCATAACATAATTTCCTGTAGCTTCTCCCACTGGATGCTCTGGACTTGAAAAGCTGTCCCTGTTTGGCTGGCAAACAAAAATAAAGTCCTTTAACCTCAACTCATTTCCCACGAACCCCCCGTCCCCCGTCCCCCACCCCACGGTCCTCCATTGTCCTAAACGCTAAAGAAATGTGATCGGATCGGAACACTTCTGAGTCTAACTCCCGTTGATGTTTCTCTCCCTCAGGGTGGCATGTATGTCTTTCAACTCTTCGACTACTATGCAGCCAGTGGTGTGTGCCTTCTTTGGGTCGCATTCTTTGAATGTATCGCTGTAGCCTGGGTTTATGGTGAGTCGACAGAAGGCTGGCATGTTGTTACACACACTGATATAAATACAGCATTGGAACATCATATTTGTGTATACAAGGTGTTTCTCTATATATTTTATTTGATGTAAATTATGCGCATATATATATATTTTTATATATATATTTATCAATGAGTCAGTAAGCTATATTAAAATTACCTGCTTTTCTCCCTCCACAAATAGGTGTTGACAACTTCTATAATGCAATTGAAGACATGATTGGCTACAGACCAAATCCCTGGATGAAATGGAGCTGGACTGTCATAACGCCTTTCCTATGCATGGTGAGTCTTCTGTACTGCAAAAACTCCCCGTTATCACATTATTGACAATCGACTGTTTGATAATCATCTACAATCCACATTAGTATAATCCATCGATGTCAAAACTAAGGAATAGTTTTTACTCCCCCCCCCCC